CTTTTGCCTCAGAAACAGACTTCTATAGACTGCTGCTGTTCCTCCAGCACCCACTTGCAACTGTTGCCAGACAGAATTCACCCCCTCTGCTAGGCCTCTCAGCAGACAGGCTAGATCCCTGTTACTTCACGCAGCTTTGCCTCAGCCCTTTCCCGCCAAAACGGGTTGCCTCAGAGCTCCCTAATCTAGTCCCCCAATCTGAGTTTGCACGTTCTTCCACTAGCCTACCTCCCCGTGAGGTAAGCCTAGAAGATTACCTACGCGCCCTCAGATTTTCCCTGACTAGACCCCCCTTGCTCTGGGCACACTAGCCAAGGCTTTGCTGGACCACTGGGCAACTGGACCAGTCGGATCCCACCCGCTGGACACCAATAAATGTAGCAACCCCAGACCTACTGGAGTATCCCACCCTGTAGTTATGCTGCCACCAACCATTCGCTCTCCCAAGTCACCCAGACCAGGAATGGATTTTAATAAACAAGAGAACAAGGTTTATTGAAAAAACAAACAGGGTAAATAAAAGGATCAGGTAAATAGGATACTGGAACTTGGTATAGTCCCAATCATACACATACAACAGATTGGTTCCCACGGAACACTTTAAGGTAACGCACAGACCCTGAACCTATCCGTTCTGGCTACCTAGATAGAAACCTGAACCTATCAGGTATGTACTATCTGACGAACAGTTGTACTCAGTCTTACCCACAGACTCCAACTCCACTTCTCCACGTCAGCTCCCTTACGAAGGACTTCCCCCAAATATATACAGTACAGCTCCTCCCCCCTGATGTCCCGCCTTCCACTCCCCATAGGATGGAACTTTCCCTCCAAACCCATGACAGACAGGTAACATCAGTGCTGTATGTGAGACACTTACAAATTTCCAGAGTCGAAAATCATTATAAGACCCATGGTATGGATACTTTGTTTCTCACCAAACATCCGACACCGAACTCCATAATAGTAGAGTCAAACCAATCAAGAGCCCGAAATATATACAGTACTCAATTGCACCTACAAATAAAGAAGGTAGAAAATTAGATATACTTGGCAAGAGGCTCTGTTCCCTCACCTCATTTTTGATGTGAGTTGCCAATTATCAAGCCGTGATGGGAGCTTACCATAGACAATTATGGAATAAGATTCTCCCAGTACTTGAATTGGCCCCGGAATCGTCTAAGACAGAAGCCCTTAACATTCATGCCAAGGCTTCCACACTCGCCAAACAACAGAGGATTGCATCTCACTATACCACTGATGCCTCCTCTAAAGCTATGGCCACCTCTATCACACTCCGGCGTCATGCATGGCTTAGATCTGCTGGGATATTGGATGATACCAGATCTAGAATAGAGGATCTACCTTTTGATGGGGCTGCCCTTTTCAATGAAAAAATGGACAAGGTAATGGACAACCTCCATAAGAGCCATAAAACAGCTCCATCCTACTCTACCCAGCAGACATACAGATGACAGAGGCCTTTTTACCAACAACCATACCAACAATTTCAACAACTATACAGACCATACAAACCTCAAACATTGGACAGGCCCTTTGAAGGACCCTCAACCTTGACTTCATATTCCTTTTGAACCCAGCAACAGCAACCACGCCGTCAACCCTTTTGGCACCCTTAAAGGAAAGGTAAGCAATACCTATAGACTCCCTTCACCTACTCTCAATTCCTCAACCCTGTTCCAAACAAGATTTCGTCCTTTCCTTAATGCTTGGCAATGTAGAACTAATGACCAATGGGTCCTTTCCATCATTAAAAACAGTTACTTCATTGAATTCAAAACTATCCCACCAATTGGAAATGTTATAAATACCCTGTGAATGGGTTCAGTTTCAAATTTTGGCAACTCCTCGTTTTGTGCGAGAAATACCACAGGAGACGTCTTCTTAACTCTTATAACTTCCTCTTTATTAGTTACAGGCAAATCAATGTTATTCATGATAGGATCAAAAAGACTTAACTCAGGCAACATGCCATGACTGTTCAACACAATGTCCCGAATCCCATCCATGGAACTCACAGGGGTGCTGGGCCAAGCGTCTCCGCATGGTTGGCTTCCGAAGGGGCACGCTCTATACTGCACAAATGGTGCCGCAGCATGGATGCCGGGCCCAATCTCCTTTGGGGGGAGGATTATCGAGAATCAGGTTGAATCATCTGCCGTCCTCTCCCATTCTTGGGAAAGACTATAACTAACCATTCTAACGTCTCGTATTTCACTCTCCTCCCTTTGGAGTGGGGTAACAGCTCGCCTAGTTATAGATTTGGAAAATCTCTCAACAATTCCTGTGTTTTCACTCTCTCATACTCTCTTAGCCTCTCCAGTTCTCTCTTCCACTTCCACAGTTCTAGTTCTACCTCGAACCGCCGTTCTCCTTGGTTACTTATACCCTCCTCCCAGACTGACAGCTCCTGCTCCTCCCCTTTCTTGTCCCCGTGCTCCTCTATCAGGCTTACTTCAAATTTCCCTCCTCGCTCCATTTTCCCCTCTTCTGGAGCTAAGTTCTCCCCTGGGTCCACCTGCTCTTTTGCACTCTCGGGTTTTCCCCACTCTCTTTTCCTTCTTCCTCTTGGAACAGCACACTCTCTTCTGGACCTCCTTCACATGCCCCTTATTCGACAGTCCTTCAAGAAGAAGTTTCCCTTCTTCTCCAAAAACAAGCCATAACCACCGTCCTTCCCTCTATCCTGCCTGATGGTTTTTGCTCCAAATATTTTACAGTACTGAAAAAGGATGGAGGACTCCATCCCATCCTCAACCTCCGAAATCTCAATAAATTAATCCAACCTAGATGCTTCAGAACGATGACACCAGACACTATCATTCCTCTCCTTTCACAGGGAGACTAGTTTGTCATCGATCTTTTTTTAGGAACTGAGGGGATCAGTGGTGGGTGGAGCATGTGCTCCATGGGGGAATGTCCCACTAATCATGTGTCTATAAGCTCTAGAAACTTCTGAGAGGTTCAGCGCAGGCGCAGAACAACCCAATTGTGTGGATTCACAGAGGACCATTAGAAGAACTATGATTACAGGTAGGTAACCTCTCTCTCTTTTTTAAGGACAGCAGAAGAAGTTTGAGTAAAGAGAAGAGTCTGATTCTGTGATGTATGCCAAATCATTTTCCTAATGTTTTAGGAATCTTTGTGTAGGACTGTGTCTACATTGGTGAACCAATTTGATTCAGTAGTTTTGCAGACACATGAGAGTGTAAAAGAATATTGGTTGAAATTTCAGCCAGATGTGGGAGCCACTGACTTCATAAATAACATAACCCAAGTAAGAAGTTGTTTGGGGAAATTTCTGGTACTTCCAAATGAGACCAAATATAAACTGACCTTCTGTTTATTTGGCTTATCTTGATATGTTCTACATTGACTCAGATCTCATGTTTCTGCTCAGTATTTTTGCATCAACAGTTCAAATATTACTGAAATCTAGTTTTAGTACCATAGATGAATAGTCTGTGTGCTAAATATAAGATGTTCTAAAGGAAAAAAACTTGCATTGCCAAAATATAAAGTACTAATTGATTTTTTTTTATTTGTTAAAAAGGCTAAATGCGCAAGGTAACTTAATTGTACCGTTTGGAACTCTCCTGGCTGAACATGGTTGCTAATTCCGGATGTCTGAGATAGCTGAGGTACAGTTGTTACACATATGTGGCTTACAGTGATTGTTTAAGAATGTTGATGACACACTGTTGATAAAAAAGAAAATTCAAGAATATTTTAAGTATCCAAATAATTACTATTCTTGAAAATCAGTCTTTGCAGAATATTGATCTTTAGATTGTTTTAACACAACAATAAGGCAGGATTCCTGAGAATTCTGTTTTACTAGTAGTACACTATTTTATGCTGCTTGATTTCTCCCACTTGGCTTCTTTTCCAGGTGGAGTGGCTCTCCATCTGTGGTTTGTTTTAGTATTAAGTCCAAATCAGTGACTTGGGGTTGTAACTGTCCCAAAGAAGGTGGAAGTCAAGCCAAGAACAAACTGTGCCGTTTCTGGTCTGTTAATAGAGAAGGACATTCAGATGTCTAGTTGATCTATAGTTTAATGTCATATATTGTGTATCAGTGTGCTGCTCATAAGTAATAAGGCAGGATTGTCTGTGATTGCTGGCAACTTTATAAATATTGGGAGAATCTGCCAACTTTATATTAAAACATTGCATATCCAAGCTTGCTGAACAGAATGTCTACAATGAGAGTTCTCTCATAGTACATGTGGCTGAACATGTTGAGGTGTAGAATTGTTTCAAGATGTATAGGCAATTAAGTTTGATATAATAAATATTCATGTGAGGCATGCTTGATGCACCTAGTTATTTTTTTCTTTTTTCTCACCTTTGGCCTACAATTTTTGCATCTTTCAGAACAAAGGTGAAAATGCTTTTCTACAGGATAGTTGACATTTCAAGTGTGCTAAGGTAGGTTGGTGCATCTGTGTGTGGGAGAATGTGCGGAAAGGCTTTAAATTACATTCTTTCACAGTGATCACAACCGTGCAGTTTATTATGCTCATTCTTATTGGTACTCAGAACTTCAAACTTTAGTTGCAGTGCAGTGGCATGTTTTGTACCAACAAAAAGGTTATTCTTGGCAAAACTCTATATAGAGAAGTGCCTCCGTAGTTTGCCCACCATGGCCTGCAACAGAGGTAATGCTTGCTTTTTGATTTCATTTGTGAAATGATTGTTTCATATACTATGTCATGCGGGTTTTTTAAACCACATGTTGGAGGACATCTCTACATTGGTCATTTACCCTGAAATTGTGTTGGATTTGGCATAGATGAAATCAGATTACTGTAAAAACTGGTAGCTATATGATATAAAGTTCAGAATGGGGAAATCTGGTGTTTTTGAGTGGGAAACCATCTCTTTTTGTTCAGCTTGCAGGGGATGGTTTATTCTGTTCCAGTTTAGCTGGCTTCACTTTGTTTTCTGGCATGTGTGATCTCCTGATCTGATACAAAGGGGCACTCATGGGGGTATCAGTTTTCCTCAGCCAAGCAGTTGTCTCCAAACAGTGTTCCCGTTTTAAAAAATGTTTTTCAGAGTTAGTGCCAATTCAGATAACTGCTGTCACCACAGAAAAAGTAAAAATAAAAAAGAGGTGGAGGGAAGGGTTGGTCCTGGTGGAAATTGTCAATCAATACCTTGATCCTGTTCTTCCAGGGCTTGTATGTATCTGTCAGAATACAGTGGTGCCTTGCATAGTGACGTTAATCTGTGCAGCAAAAATCGCTGCTAAGCGATTTCGTCGCTATGCGATTTTTAAAAGCCCATCGAAACACATTAAAACCTGTTTAACGTGTTCCTATGGGCAAAAAACTGACTTTAAAGCGAAGATCCTCCATACGGCGGCCATTTTCGCTGCCTCTTATGCAAGAAATCGGTGTGAATACACAGCGGGCAGCCATTTTTTTACCCGGCGGCCATTTTGGAACCACCGATCAGCTGTTTAAAAATCATCACTTTGCGATGAACAGTAAGTGAAACGGAACCGATCATCGCAAAGCGATAAAACCGCATAGGAAACATCGCAATGTGATCGCTTTTGCGATCGCAAAAAGTTAATCGCTATGCGGTTTCGTCGCTAAAAGGAGCGCCCGTTAAGCGAGGCACCACTGTACTTCACTGACAGAGGATAAACTAGAATTTGTTTCAGCAAATGGTGGAGTATGTAAATTGGATGTTTATGTATATTTTGTACATTTTCTCTTTCATTCTCTCCCCTCCATATTAGGCACAACATCTGACTCATATTGATATTCAGTATTCAGTATTCCAGCAAAGAGTGGTGAAAGAAGTGATTTCAGAAAATATTGAATTATTGTGATTGTGCATTATATGAGGGAAGGGGTTTGTGGTTATAAAATTCTAGGTCACTCGCTGCAAATAATTATAATGTGTTATTTTTCAATGAGATTTTCCCCTTTTCGCCAGAAATTTTAATTCTTGACATCTAGTGGCAATTTTTATTAAACTATTATGTGTAATTTAAATAGGAAATTGGGTTTTTGTGTAGTAGCTTTTGTGATGCAGATTTTCATATGAATCTCTATCCAAAATTAGATTATTATACAGGTAGTCATAAAGGTGTGTTCATGTATACACAAGCGCACAGGCGTAAATCCAGTGTTGGAATTTTATTCCCCTTATCTTCTTTGCAGTCCTGAGTGTGACTAAAAAATAGCTCAAGGGCATCCAGAGCATGTTTTTTTGGGTGCATAAAAGCTACAGCAGAAAGGAGAGCTTGTTCCTACTTCCTCTGCCACTGATGGTGGAAGTTCTCTTAGTGAATGCCCTTTCCTTAAATTTTGGCTGTAGTTTCTTCTTGGTACTGTACTAACAAAACTTGTTTTACATTGTAATGGTTTTATCATAATTAGCTGACCTAAAAGATGGTGCTAAAACCAGGAATACAGTATGTAGAACCAAAACATATAATAATGCTTATTGTTTACAGCGGAGTCCAGAACTCTTCTTTACTATGTAAAAAGTAGCTTTGGGCAAAATTAAATTTCTTGTAAATTCTCTTGTATAGGATTAATTCTGTGTTTCTTCATGCACTTAATGGCACTTATGATTTAAGTAGTCTGCTATATAGTCTCATTTCTTCAAAATAAAGTAGCAGCCTTCAGTGCCTGTTACAATAGAACATATATAGGCCCCAAGGGAAATAAATAAGTTCATTTTCATATACTGAATAAAAGACATGGAAGATGTTCAATTAATAGCTTGTTTGGATAACAGGGTTCTGGTGTGTGAAGAAGTTGAGTGAAAGTGGAAATGTTCTCCTTAAAACAAGAAATTACCAGCTGACAGATGTTGTAGATTTGTTGGGTCATAGGATTTTGGGCATAGGTATAAGGGGTTTCCTGATAAATTGGAGAAGAATTAGACTACTTTAGAAAAGAATAAGAAATGGGAAGAGCTGTACCACTAACACATCTTATGTTGCTTTCTTTTATATCTATTTATTAGTTCAGTTTACATACACCCTATACTATTTGAAGCATTCTATGGATGGTTTACAAAGTAATTAGGTAAGGAACATTTAGCCCCCCCCCCAAAAAAAGCAGGCTGTATAGTCATTTTACCAACCATGGAAGGCTGAGTCTATCCTGATCCCGTTGGGATCAAAGTCAGTTTGTGAGCAGTGGCTTGATTGCAGTATTGCAGTTTAACTTCTGTGCCATGGGGCTTGCTTATATGTTTTGCAGATGGAATTCTTGTTCATGAGACTCATGCAACTGATCCAGCTACCTGATGTTTGTACAATATTGCAGGTTGTATGTATTGAGCACCTGCAAGATAGTTGTTCTTGTGCTATTTACTGTGTAGGTAGGCACATTTCAGATCCTATTTGTTAAGGAAACTGTAGTACAACTTCAGAAACACTTTCAAAATTTGGTGAGTTGGGAATGTCTGATATAGGTTAGACAATTTGACCAGGGACGTGGTGGTGCTGCGGGCTAAACCGCAGAAGCCTGTTCTGCAGGGTCAGAAGACCAGCAGTCGTAAGATCGAATTCACGCGACGGAGTGCCTGTTGCTTGTCCCAGCTCCCGCCAACCTAGCGGTTCGAAAGCATGCAAGTGCAAGTAGATACATAGGGACCACCTTGGTGGGAAGGTAACAGCGTTCCGTGTCTAAGTCACACTGGCCATGTGACCACGGAAGATTGTCTTCGGACAAAACGCTGGCTCTATGGCTTGGAAACAGGGATGAGCACCGCCCCCTAGAGTCGAACACGACTAGACAAAAATTGTCAAGGGGAACCTTTACCTTTACATTTACCTTTACCTTTTAGACAATTTAACTAGGAGTTGTGCAGGAATTTTTTTCTCTGATGATAGTGTGGTGAAACCTCTGTCATCTTTAATATCTGTGATATAATTTTGGTTGCCAATTTAAAACATTTGCCATATAAAACATGGATCTCAATAGTACATAAACATTTTATAGTACCAACATTTCCAATATGGTGCTTATAATATGTCACATTACTTAGAAAATAGTAGATAATTATATGAAGATTACCTGTAGCAGCTCCAGTCAATTTGTATCATGTCACTGTAGGTCCTGTGGTAGAATTTCACTGCTGTCTGATACCAGTCATCTTACCTAATAAAACTATATTGCCGAAACACAGAAAATGCAGCCTTTTTAACAACTTGTTTTTATTAGTTTGGGACTGTATTTAACGTTCTTTGTGAATCAGTGGCCAAAATCCTGTTTCTTAGCATAGTAAAGCACAGCAGAGTGGTTTCACCAAAGTAATTTGCAGTTAGAGTGGGCTCATTTGAATCAGTGGAACTTACTTCATTCACCAAATCCATTGATTCAATAGGCCTACTCTAGTATGATTCACTGTGCTAAGCAACAGGATTTGGGCCATTGCCTGTTACCTGATAGAGATAGAAGAACTACTGTATTCATTTTTTCTGCCACTTCTTTTGTCCTGTTGTTTACGTTCTGGTAACTCAGTTTTATGTTCTATAAAATACTTAAAACAATGTTCTATATTAAGTTTGGGCTCTTCAGTGTGGAGTGTCTGTATTTAGTGTTTTGTTCAACTCCATTCTTGTTTATTTGTACAAAGAATGGAGAGTAAAATGAGATCACATGCTTTTGATTGGGTGGTAAAAGCCTGGCCACTAGCCAATAAGGATTCCCCCATGTATAAAAATGTGGTTAGTAAAGAGCTGGCCTGAAAGTTCCAAATGCTGTATTTGCATAGAAACATTTGAAATGTGGTATGTTCCATCATGAGCTAGCTTTTTGGGGTAGATTGTTTTTGTTTTTGGTGATTGCTTTGGGGAGGGAAGGGTCTGTTTTGGCGTAGAGCAAAAGAAGGTATATTCTGCAATCAAGTGAGTTAAAGACCCTCTCTGATCAGATAAACCTTGGGCCAGGTGATGTCTCACATTATTACAATTTTAAATGTTTTTCATAGGATTGTAGTCTATCCTTTTTCCTTCTAATACTATTAAATTCTTTCATTACATTTAATTTACAGTTGTTGTTTTTTAAAACTTATACCTTGTCTTTGGTCCTTTTGTAAATTCTTCAGTCCTGGTCTATCTGGCAGTGTATTACTGTAGTTTTATTTGATTTAATTTGCACATCGTGTCTTTCTGAGCAATGTTGAAGCATCTCTAGTGTTCTACTGAAACAGCTAGGACAGTAATTCTTGTGGAGATTTTATAAAATCTTGGATGTATGGAGGACCAGAAAAGAAATGATGCATTGATCATTAGATTAAAATGGGGTAGAATAAGCTTGATGCAATTCATAAGATTAACTTCAAGTGTTCCAGAGGCCACACATACCCCCTGAAACCTCAAAGGGGTTCTCTAGTTCCCGTGACACCCCCCCTCTTGCCTCCAACACCTAAAAGGAGTTGTGCTTTAATTTAGAAAAGACCCTCTTGCATTGGCTGTTTTCAGGAAAAGTAGAGGCAAGGTTATAACGTCTAGAGATGTTGCTATAAATAAATAGTTTTTCATCTTTTCTTTGTGCCTGATTCTCCTGAATTTCAGAAGAAATCGGTACAGTCTTAATTTAAATGGCAGTAGCTTGTATAAAATTTTATCTGTTCAGAACTAGGCTGGATCATAACAAATCTAGCAATAAAGAAAAAGGATACTGCAATTGCTAAGATTATAAATATATCCAGTCATCAATTTAAGTAGTATATGTTTGTTTACATGAATTCTGTACATGGAATTAGCTAGTCATAGAGAAAAATGCTTATATAGTTAAGTGACAACATCAAAAAAACTTTCAAAACCGTCTGAGCTTAGATTGAGCTTTTTATGCCTCCAGTAAAATCTTTTCAAGCACAGTCTACAATCCACTTAATTTGGAAATACCTTGTAACAAATGAAACATGGCAACACAGCATTTCAGATGTCTACAATATTTTTTACTTACTCATCTCAGCCATGCCAATATTAATTGTTTACGGCATATTTGTAGGCTAAACAGAGCAAGTGAGAGAGAAACAAGTCTTGTCCTTCTGCATCCAGCTGTTTGGCCAAATTAAAATAAACCTATTGAATGAATGAAACCTGTTGACTCAACAGTCATACAAATTCTTTTTATTTAAAAGAGCCATTATAGTTGGGACAGACAAGTGGATTCGGTCCCTAATTTCTGAAGTCTTTTTTGCCTAGTTTTCTGGAGGGGAACTTACCTTCCATAAGCAACCATGTCAATTCAGTGCCTGTTAAGCACAGCTCCAAAGCAAAAAAATGATAAAAGGTAAGCTATTACTATAATATTCTTTCCCTGTTTAATATGGTGTGCAGGAGAAGAGTTAAGGCTCTTATTTAATTTATGCTTAGCAGAAGATTCAGTATCAACAGTTAGACTAACCCATGTTCTTTGAGGGTTTTTTTAAAAAATAGTATGGTTATACTAGTTAGTATATGAGCTTTGTAGTCCTTGCCTGAATCCACATCAGTGTGACAACACTCGCCACATTTCTCTTCATTTGTTTTATTGCATGCCATTTTTATTGCACACTCCTTATCCAGTCTTTTTTAGTATTTGCAGTATTTGCAGTACTTTTGTCCTTTATTTGCCAAGTACTGAAGTAAATGCTAACCTGTACAGTATACCTCTATATACATTTGTGTTATAGTACTTTCCTATAGTCCATATTTTATTATTTTTACATGAATATACTTTGAGATTATGTCAAAAGCCTGACTGAAGTCTAGATATGTCAGGCATTAATTTTTGCCTGTTAGGTGACTCAGTTCTGTCAAAAAAGATTCATAAGTTGTATTAGCTTTACTGTGTTTAATAAATTCATGGCAACTGCCAGTAGTTGTTTCATTCTTCCCTGTGTTTTGTGCCATCAAGTCATAACACCCATAATAGGACTTTAAAGGAAAGTGAGTTATTTGACAAGTAGTTTTACTAGTTTCACCCTCTCCCCATGAGTTTTCCTAGCTAAGTGGGTATTTGAACCCAGGTCTCCTGAGTCTTGTCACTCCGTCTGTTATATCACTCTGGGTACAGTATATACTCTGATTTCTATTCAGATTGTATACATCTTTAGCCTTTTACACTGGATTATCATTTTTCTCTAGATATGTTATAATTGCAATTGATATTTGTCCAATTAACATTAGGATTTTTAAGGCCAACATACCGCACAGATCAGAACAGGTTCTGATGGGACAAGAATTCTTTGGCAGACTACTTTGTATCTCTTTTCTGGGGTCATTTATCATGTCACTAATTCTTTGAACAAACTGAAACCAAATTTCCTTCACTGTAGTGCCAGGTACATGCATAAAATAGATTTATAGTTGATTTTAAAAATAAGACCTTTTAATCAATTAGCAGTTCTTTCCTTAGAAAAACACTTGAACTATGTAATGTAAAATGTCGAATATTTTTCCAGAATTCTCCAAATGAGTACAAAATAAGAATATTGGATTCTCAAAATTATTTTTCCCCCAAAAGTTTGAAATATTAATCTATAGTTTTGTAAACTTACTGTGAATATTGAGAAGGAGTGAATGTGTGTGTTAAAAATAAACCTTGTGAAATCAGATTAGAGTGGTGCCTCGCTTAACGATTTTAATTGGTTCAAAAAAAAATCGCTATATGAAAACATCGTTAAGCGAAACACCATTTCCCATAGAGATGCATTGAAAACTGGATAATCCGTTCCAATTGGAACGGATTACCATCCTTAAGCGAAAATCCCCAAAGGAAAAAACGTTAAGCGAAACCCATTGAAATGCATTGAAGCCTATTTCAATGGGGGGAAAATTCACAAAAAATTCAAAAAGACTCAGAACAAAGCCAAATTAAGTTAACGAAGGTTTTATTAGGTGTACTAACGATTCCAAGCTTTTAAAACATTTTTAAACATTTTAGAATATTTTAAAAATAGCAAAAACGGGGCTGTAAAAAAAACGTTAAGTGAAACAAGGGGACCTAAAACTGTCATCATTAAGTGAAGCATGGTCCCGAAATCGTTAAGTGAAAATCGCCCATAGGGAAAATCGTTAAGTGAAGCGCAAGATCGCTCCGAAAAAGCCATCGTTAAGTGAATTTTTCGTTGTATGAAGCAATCGTTAAGCGAGGCACCACTGTATTTTATTTTTCCTGTGAGTGCTGTAGCAGCCTGTTGGGAAATGAGTGTGAAGGGTAAGGCTGTTAAGCAGAGGGATATTTACACATAGCATATTATGACTTCCTACTGAAATACAGTATATGATGCTACAGCTCCCTCAGGGTTTGTCTACGTACCTATTTTGGAGTGGACTAAATAGAGTTGCTAAGAGGTCCAGTATGCCATTTGGTGCGATCTTTACATTCAAATGGTATACGGAGCTGAAGCAACCTTATTTGATCCCCACCAGCCTGCTGTCAAAAGCAGGAGAAAACAGGAGGGAGCAACCAGGTGGATTACTGTTTGCTTTTCTCTTAAAGAACTAGTAAAAAAAAAAAAAAAGAGCAAACAACCCCCCCCATCTGTTTCCTGCCGCTGCTCTGCTTGACCCTTTTAAAAAGCCAAGCTACACATATGGAAAGAGAGCAATCCTACCCATACCAAAAAAGTAGAGGCCCCTAGACCAGCAATGGTGAACCTATGGCATGCATGCCACAGCTGGCACACGGAGCCCTTTCTGCCGGCGCGCAAGCCATAAGTCGCCAGATCACTACTTCCCCCCGCGCAGCCAAACCTGAGAAAGCAGCTGCAGCAACAGTGCTGGCACTTCAAGAGGCAGATCCAGAGCAGCTGGTTCTGGCAGTGGATCCAGAATGGGGTCTCAAGGCACCTCCATGCTGGGATTCCCCCTTCCGCCGCCACCACTTCTGGTGCTGCTGCAGCAGCGACATGCCACCCGCTGTTGTTGGTTTTTCCAGTTTGGGCACTGGAGCCCAAAAAGGTTCACCATCACTGCCCTAGACAGTGACCAGACAGGTGCAAGTTGGAAAAACATTCTGGGGGTGGGCTGTCTCTAGGAAAGACATAGACTGATCACCATCTTTAAGAGCACACCAACCTGTACCTGCAGCAGGCCACACAGTGGGCTAAATGTCCATCTGACCACACTCTTCAGTTGAGCTTCTAAATGACCCTGTTTGAGCCTTGGTGCCATCTGTCTCAAGGTTTCTTCATTTGCAAGAACAAATTATTCACCATGCTACTTGCAAATAAGGCTGTTCTTCTGTATCAGTCCTCCCTATTTACTGACCAATATTCTGTGTAGTACCCTGGATTTTAGTTAATATGGGTAGTGCAAGTGGTTGAAATTTAAAAGTCATAAGAATGAGTGAGTGAGTGTGTGTGTGTGTTAAACTCATTGTAAGCAATTTTCATGTGCATCTTAACATTTTAACTGTTTTGGAAAATGCCAACTGATATTGTTCACACACCATGATAGCTAAAGTAAAAATAAAATATATTTGAACCATGTGACTTTCATAAGTTATAACATTTTCCATATTTACTTTTTTTCAGGTGATTCATGGCAGGGGACGTGGAAGGATTTAGCTCCTCCATCCATGACACCAGCGTCTCTGCTGGGTTCAGAACATTGTATGAGGAGGGATTGCTTCTTGACGTCACTCTTGTTATTGAAGATCACCAGTTTCAGGCGCATAAAGCACTCCTTGCCACCCAAAGTGATTACTTCAGGATTATGTTCACTGCTGATATGAGGGAGCGAGATCAGGACAAAATCCACTTGAAAGGTCTGACTGCCACAGGCTTCAGTCACGTTCTTCAATTCATGTACTATGGAACCATTGAACTGAGTATGACCACTGTTCATGAGATCCTGCAGGCTGCTATGTATGTCCAGCTTATTGAGGTGGTGAAATTCTGCTGCTCTTTTCTTTTAGCAAAAATCTGCTTGGAAAACTGCGCAGAAATTATGAGACTCTTAGATGATTTTGGTGTAAACATCGAGGGAGTCAGAGAAAAGCTGGATTCCTTCTTACTAGAAAATTTTGTGCCTCTCATGGCCAGACCTGACTTCTTGTCCTATCTGAGCTTTGAAAAGCTTATGACTTACTTGGATAATGATCATCTGAGCAGGTTCCCAGAAATAGAGCTCTACGAGGCTGTTCAGGCTTGGCTGCGGCATGATAGAAGACGCTGGAGACATACCGACACCATCATTCAGAACATCAGGTTTTGTTTGATGACACCATCCAGTGTTTTTGAAAAGGTTGGTGCGTTTGAAAGCAATAGATAGAATTCATCATTGCACTTAGGGCAACATGTTGTCCATAGGTAAAGTTCTCAGAATTAGGAGGGGAAAATGAAATTCAATTTTAGAAAATGGAACATTTAAATCATTCATGTCTGGAACAAGTGCCATCTAGCTTTTAAAACAAACAAACAAACAAAAAATCCTCTAGTGTAGCAGAATTTACAGCCAGGAAAGAGGTAGGTTTGCAACTTTTTTAATAGTCAGTGATGGAGGGAACCTCTAGCAAATAAAGACAAGACTGTGTTTGTTATTTTCAGTGACATTAAATTTGGCTAATTGAGTCTTAATATAATACAAATTTGTGAATCTGAAATTTTAAGACAAGACCACACATCATATAAGCATTTAAATTCCAGATTGAAAATGAAAAAAAAATCCAGGATACTTTATCTTGTTTTTGTTTTCTTAATTCCAGCAGAATCAATTCAAGATCTAAGTTGCAATTTCTGTTTTTAAATACTCAGAAAAATATGGGAGTTTTTGGTGTAACGGTCAGCCTTGTATGTTAGGAGAGCTTTCTGTAAATTAACTTGATGTGGAGCTATCTTATTCACTCTTTTTCGTTTCTGTCTGGTTGTTATAGTAGAAAGTGGGGAGAGGTGTTAAGCTTTTAAATTGTTCAGATAAATAGCAGAAAAGGAGGCTAGATTCTCAATCTGGTTGGGAAAAATCAGTGTTGTGCTTTTCCTGTTCCAAGTTTGATCTCTAGTGGAGGTGAAATGGGGTTGGGAGTAGTAGTTGTGTGCTGTATCGAGAATGGTAAACTTTAGCATCTGAGGGTTCCCAGATGGAACACTGGTCTTTGGAGGAGCTGTTTTGGGGAGCGCAATGTAGAGTTTGATCATTCAGAAACAAAGCAATATGGTATAAGAAGGCTATCTAAGCAGAAGAAGCTTGATCATGGAAATAGATATGCTGATATTTCAAGTCTGGCAAGGCTGGTTCTAGAAAGCCTGTCTACATGGAAAAGAAAGAATATAAATGCAAAAGGTAGGAAGAGATGACTGAGGGATGATGGAACAATGGGAAATATGGTCAGGCATTAGTGTAAAGCAGGTAACTACTGGCACTCCAGATATTGTTGGACTGCAACTCATATCGGTGTTAGCCCATGTATATAGTGGTGAGGGATGCTGGAAGTGGCAGTCCAGTAACCTTTGAAGAGCTACATGTTGCCCTGCTGTGATATACAAAATGTCTTAAATTATGTGAACAAGTTGAGTACTGGAAGAAGAAATGTATGAGTTTTGAGCTTTTCATAGAGGAGTAGTGGTGTAAAATGGAAGGACTATTACGGCTGTTTGTACCCAGGAAGTATGTAGTTTGTAGGAAAAGTAGCACCTTTACGGACAGGTCTCATATCATCTCAACTCTTTTAAGTCACCACAGTAACAGTTCCCCTTTTATTTCTAAACAAATGTTACTAGGATCATTACTGAAAAAAGATCGTAGATGTTCGTGCAGTGTGATTCATGTTATGCAGAAGTCATGGGAATTGTATCTGCATGACTTTCCAGTTATAAATTGGGAAAATAATCTTGTTTGAATGGGGGTGAACAGTTACAAAATAATAAACGAAAGAGTAACTTATAGTTTATTTCTTTACAAGAAAGCAAATACTTTCTCAGTTCATTTTTTCTAGCTGTATTCAACGTGTATCATCCTAGACATAGAACATCCATGCATGTTAACGTTAAAGCATCAGTATATTTGTGTAATCAAATGTAATTTTACATTTGCTGTTCAGCTGCCACAAGTACCTAACTATAATTAGCAAGATGGGGTTATAAAATTCTGCAACAATGCATGACAGTTAGCTGTCATATTGACATTTTACCCTCGCCTTTATTTTTTAGTATCTGTAGGCCTTGAATAATATAGGAGAAAAATATGGAAATGCTTATATTCATGTACATTTTGAGAAAGATACGAATTAGAAGAGCTTCAGTAATGTACTTGATACTAAAATTAAAACAGAGGCAGTCCCTATTACACTTGCACCTAAGGCAAATTTTAAAATTTATATAATACACTATCAACATTCCTTAGGTTAACATATGCTGTAACAAAATAGAATAAAATAACACAAATCTTTAAAGGCTCCACTAAATAACCAAGAGTGACAAGTATATTTTCTAAAATCTATAATGCCACACATTTGAAATTTAATAAATATGTTTTATTCTGACTCTTGTGTACTGTAGTCATTGGTTACAAACATTTGATTTGATGTGTCTCTTAAAATTCTTTTCATTTGTCATACAAAATATTCTATTGTTTTGTGAACTAATTCATTTTTGTGTTAATGTCAATGTGCTTCTGGTTTCTGTTCCCATTTTATTTTTTTCTATTTCATAGCTTCCTTTGCATCTTTACCCCTAATAGAGTTGTTTTAGTGTCATTTCACAAAGTAATCTTTTTGAAAGATTCATCTGTACAGACCCTGGTCCTTTACTGTCTTCCCAAAAGAGAGCGATTTCTTTTTCTCATTCCTCACTTAAGTGTATATGCTGATTTATTTAATTGTTCTTTGTCCGGGGATTTCTTTTGACATACAGATAGCCGTAGCAACATTTGTTATAGGTCTCTAGCATTTGTCAACATGTTTCATTTAGATGAATTTAGAGGCTATCGGATTTTGGGCTTCCTGAGGCCAGGAGTGGAAAAGAAATGTGGGGGGAGGATAAAACTGGCTAACTGCGAAATCTAGAAACTGATAGAAACGAACTCAGTGGCTTTTTGGAGAATGGAAACTTTGACTTTTTTGGCTTTTGTAATTCATTATCGTTGTTTGTTGTTGAATTATGCCTTTTGTGTTTGATTTTTTTCTTTTACTGTAAACTGCCCCAAGTAGTGCCTGTCACTAAATTGGGTGGTATATAACATAAATACATAATCCCAAACTGTAGGTTTCCAAGGTAGATTGGGTTTCCATATATCCTTAACAGGTGAATGGCATAATTAGGTGTGATATCTTCTTTGAGGATGTGTGTTTACACAGTTCTGGATAACAGGTAATTGCAGTTTGTAAATCTGTCTGATTTTTTTTATAGTTAGGTTAAGAAATGTCCTGTAGTTTCATATATTTCTCTCCATTTCTTCTGGAAGAGTGTTCTGCCCTCCCCGCTTTTTTCAGTTTCACTGTGAACTGTGCTAACAAGTATCCGTGATTTTACTAACTCTAGTAGCATTTGATTGTATATATTTTTTGTAGAAGAGGTAAAGGAATGGAATATTTCTCTCTCGCTTCTTTCCCTCTAAATTTTACGGATGACTTTCAATAATATAGTGTAGGCTTTAAATGATATACTGTAAATAAAAACAGACAGATAATTAATTCTATTACTTTAGTAATAGGTGAGGTCTAACTTCAGTTGGTTAGGACACCAGAGAGTGCTTTAGCACTATGGGGTGGTATACAACCTGAAACAACATTTTAATAATTGGGACTGTGTATTAAAAACACACTCTTTATTTTTGGATAGTGTTTTAATCGTAGGTACAGTTCTAAAAATAAATACATTAAAAATAAACTTTGCATGTAATAGTCATTGATAAAACAGTTCAGTATATCAGTATATGTATTCTGAGTTTCATTTTGATGGTATGTAAAACATAATTCTTACAAAATAACTTGCTGCAACGTATTATTGGTGACCTTAGTATATTGAAAAATACAATTAAGATGTGAGATGGAAGGAGAAGCTGAAGTGATATAGGGCTATTTGCATTTAAGGCAAATTCAATCACGCTAAAAATTGGCGAAGATTTGTTATTGTCATTCATCTAGTTGGAAATGCCAAGGATTTTAAATATTTTGTTAGATATAGAAATAATTTTTAAAAGATCCGTATTCTGGAACAGTTATTCTGTAACTGTTCCGAGCAGATTGTCTTGGTATTTTTTGGAATTCTTTTAAACCTTGGCTGAGTTCCATACACAAAAAAGTCTTTGAAAATATATGATCTGTTTGATCAAGTATTCCCTACCCTGGTGCCCCCAGATGTATTGGGCCATGCTGACTATGGGATTGTAAGAATTATAGTCCAGCTCATCTCAAGGGCACTAGGTTTGGTAAGGCTGTTTTTATTATTTCTGCCAGACATTTCAAATTCATTGCTAAAAAGTTCTGTGAGGGGCAGTTGAATGCAATAATTGTCATTTCAGTAGTTGCTGAAATTAAGTAGATGAAAAAGTGACATAGAGAACAAAATTTAGGTGAGATTTGATGGGCTTGGCTGGACTGGAAGCACTCTTAGTTGCTGAAATTAAGCTACAGCTATTCTTCAGGGTTTAACAGAGTAAAATGAAGTGGTATTGTTTGAGAAGGATTTCTCTCCTATATTGTCCTTGGTCAACACAGACGTATTTTGCTCTGTCCTTAGGTGAAAACATCGGAATTTTATCGTTACTCCCGGCAGTTACGGCATGAGGTGGATCAAGCTATGAATTACTTCCATAGTGTACACCAGCAGCCCTTGATGGAAATGAAATCAAATCGCATTCGTTCTGCCAAACCCCAGACTGCAGTATTTAGAGGAATGATAGGACACAGCATGGTAAATAGTAAAATTCTTCTCCTACACAAGCCAAGGGTCTGGTGGGAGCTAGAAGGCCCACAAGTACCTTTACGACCAGACTGCCTTGCTATTGTTAATAACTTTGTATTCTTATTGGGTGGGGAAGAGTTGGGACCAGATGGTGAATTTCATGCCTCCTCCAAAGTGTTCAGATATGATCCAAGACAAAATTCTTGGTTGCGAATGGCAGATATGTCTGTACCACGGTCAGAATTTGCGGTTGGTGTTATTGGAAGGTACATTTATGCAGTGGCAGGGAGGACAAGAGATGAAACGTTTTATTCAACTGAACGATATGATATCACAGACGATAAATGGGAATTTGTGGACCCCTACCCAGTCAATAAATATGGTCATGAAGGAACTGTTCTTGGTAACAAGTTGTATATCACTGGTGGAATAACATCATCATCCACATCAAAGCAGGTATGTGTGTTTGACCCCAGTAAAGAAGGGACTGTGGAGCAGCGAACAAGGAGGACTCAAGTGGTCACTAATTGTTGGGAAAACAAATGCAAAATGAATTATGCAAGATGCTTTCACAAGATGATTTCTTACAATGGGAAGCTTTATGTTTTTGGAGGTGTCTGTGTCATCCTTAGGGCCTCTTTTGAGTCTCAGGGGTGCCCTTCCACTGAAGTTTATGATCCAGATACTGATCAGTGGACTATTTTGGCTTCCATGCCAATTGGTAGAAGTGGTCACGGTGTGGCTGTGTTGGACAAACAGATAATGGTTCTTGGGGGCCTTTGTTATAATGGTCACTACAGTGATTCAATCCTCACTTTTGATCCTGAAGATAATAAATGGAAAGAAGATGAATACCCAAGAATGCCCTGCAAACTGGATGGTTTACAAGTTTGTAGCCTACATTTTCCTGAGTATGTACTGGAACATGTGAGACGTTGCAGCTAGAACAAAAGACCCAAAAATCTATTTGTAGGGAGGGAGTGGGGAAAGGGAAAGCAGATTGAAACTCACTAAAGACATAATCCTGTGTAATACACCTCTTAAATTAATAAAGGAAGAAAAGAATATACAGGGAATGCATCAACCAAGTTTATTAGGAATGCAAATAACTGGTTTTGTATTTTATTTTTTACATGCCATTATGTGTGTGTCTTGAGAGAGGGGAAAATTAGAAGTTCTTCCATTTCATGTGTTTTGGACCCTACATTCTGTGCAAATGAAAATAATACATGCTTTGAAAAGTACTGGAATGCCCTGTATTTGCAAGGTGGATTGAAAGCATATAAATTGTGCTTTTTAACTTTTTAAACTGCCTCATCATAAATGAAATCTTAGTGAAACAGCCTGACTTTAAATACAGCAGTGAAAGGGGCCTATTAATTTGGTTGTATATGCTACTTTTTCTTTAAATATATTTCCCTTCATCTATAAATCCTCCTGATCAGATTTGACACTTTTCCTTTTGATATCAATGACAATTTAAAAGTTTCCAATTTTTGCATGACCTTCCCCATAATATTGTGCAGTAGTTGCAGTAAGTCTGCTGAAAAGCATCCATTCTTTAAAACAATGCTAAAGGTTTTCTACTAAAATTAATACTAGGCTGCCTTCTGTTTGCATTGTGGTTTGTGAATAAATATATCTATATATACAAACATGAATACACTGTAATATTGAGATAAAGTGCATATTTTTATGTCCAGTTTTAAAAGTCTATTTTTAACTAGCATACAAATATCACCTATCTCTGTTGAAATTTAGATGTAATAGCACCCTTTCATTTATTTTAACTTGTTGGGTAAATGAAGACCTTGATCCTGTCAATATAAAATTTTATATTTGGTATATACTGATAGATTCAGTGACACCTGAATTCCTTTTTAAATGGATGATGAAAAAAAGGTGAAACTACATTTTTTTTTGTCTTAAAATAAGCAAATGATTCCTGCTTATCATTTTTGGTACTTTTCTCTTGAAATACATGTCCGAAATGTATATAATATTAACACTAACTCTGCCTTTTGTGGAGGACAGTTGTATTTCCCATAGGCATTATTCTCAGAAGCATTAAAAATGTACAGCGTTCCCCCCCCTTCCAGTTTTCTTTTAAAAACACACACACCAAGAAAGTATCTTTAAGAGTGGACAAATTTCTATGTTGTTTGGGAACAAACTTGACAAATAACCACTGGCCTCACAAATTTTTGTATGGATGCCTGAGATGCTTGAGAAACTCTATCTAGAGGAAAGCATTTTTTAAAAATCTTCGTAGATAGACTGTAAATGAGCGACAATATCACTAAAACAAAATCTGACTGGTGTACTCAGATGAAACGTTGGAAATTTCAGTATCTGTCTGAAATGTGGCATGTGAAATGTGGAGGTGTGTAAATCCTGCCTTAGCATTTAAAGAGCTGTTTATGTTAGGCAAACAGTTGGGAGAAAAGCTTTAGAAGAGATAAAGTTGTTTGCATGCAGTATGGAGGTTATTTCCTAATTGGAAATAACTGTAGAGAATGCATATTCTGTACTCTGGAATTCAAAATTACATTTGTTAAAAGCCATTAGCAACCACTACTGTGCTTGAGTAGACACACTTTTGGCAGAAGAAAATAAATGCAGAGCTGAAATTTTGCAATTGTACTTTTACAGACAATAATTATGGGACAGTTGTACTATCAGGTCTGCTGTTGGGCACAAAGATTTAAGAATATGTTTGCAGTTACACAGAAAAGATTAAAGTTTCCCTAATTTTTGTTTTGAATTATATAATATTCAAGACATCATCTATATATTATTAATTGATGTGATAAAATTGATCAACTTTCTCTTAACACCCTATAGCCAAACAGTAAACAGTTGTTTGAGCAGTTTAACCAGTATCTGTGAAATTCAGGGTTTTTGTCTGAGAAGAAACAGCAGAGACTTTATACCCCAACTTCCAATGCACATGTTGTTCACTACAACATTGTTAACTATGTAACAAATACATCAACGTCTATAATGTTTTGAGAATGTTTTGATGCAAGTGGTGTGTTCAGTATTCTATCTTTTCACTGCAAGTGGACAAAGAGATAAAGGATATGATCCATATAGTAGTGTGGATTTATTTAAATAAAATTGATTTAAATAATTTAAATTAATTTTTAATCAGATGTTTTGGTGTTTTAAATAAAAATGATTTTTAAAAAATTAAATCATTTAAATCGTGATTTAAATCAATTTGATTTTAAGAAATCATTTTAACCACCCTGCCACATGACACAAAATTTACATGGCAGAGAAGGCATTCTAACTTTACCCTTCCTGCCTTTCTTAATTTTATAAAATCATTCCTTTATTGTGTAGTACAATCCTCTGTTAACTCTGCTGTCTGTTTACTCTTCCAAAGCCCTGTTCAAAATAGGGACTTGCAGAATTTAATGGTGTACACCATCAGTACCTGATGACTGAGTTAAACTGAGCACTTGTGTGAATTTGTTCTAGAAAACAAGCAGAGTTTGGTTTGAACATTTTACCAATAGAGGGACAGTAACACTTAAGATTGTAGAAGTACAGTGTGAATGCCTTTATAACTGTGCTCCAGGAAACTTTTCATTAAAAATACTGTGCTCGTATAAGAAAAACACACATCCAAAATTCAGAATTAGGCAGTATCTTTATTAAGATGAAATAGAATGCAGCAAGAGTTTCTTGGTTTTTAGAAATTCATCAGACTAGAGTGTGTAGCAGTTCTTAATAAATCAGGGTAATACCTCTCCCTGTATTCCTCCTGCGATTTTAATATATCACTATGTTTTTTGGTGATTTAATGGCATATCTTCATATGCTCTATCTTAATAACATTTCTTTGGCAAAGCAAAACAAACATATTACAGTGGAACCTCTACTTACACGCTTAATTCGTCCCAGAAGATGTTCGTTAGTTGAAACGTTTGTAAGTAGAAGCTCCATTTCCCATAGGAATGCACTGAAAACCATTTAATCTGTTCTGGCCAAGGGAAAAAATACCCCCAAATTAAAAAGAACACAGCAAGAGTAATCCCAAGGCACTGAGGCTTTAAGAAGGGGAAAACACTCCAACAATAAACAGTAAACCCAACTCCGTTGCTGAGTCATTAAGAAAAAAAAAGCCACCAACAACACAGCACAGAAACATATCCACCCCACCAAAACCCACCAGAACAGTTTTTCAGAAGGAGAAAACAGCAGCTTGCCTCCCTGCAGACACACACACAGGCTCACTCCGAAGCAGGAGGCTCTCCCAAGCCTCCAACTGTGACACTCCCTATAACTGCCGAAAGAGCTACAGCACCAAGAAAAAGCCTCTGTGCCGCCTACAGTTAGAAATTTGAATTGCCCGCCTTTTCCCCCTGCCTTTTTCTTTTCGTATCTTGAAGCTTCGTTCGCAAGTAGAAACAAAATTTTGCGAACGGAGCTGTTCGTAAGTTGGATTATTTGTAGGTAGGGACATTCATAAGTAGAGGTTCCACTTGTTCTCACTCAGAACAAGCAGTTCTATAATGGCTACTTGTAATTCTACTCATCGTGCAGAATCTGACCATTTTGCCATACCACAGAGCCACTTACAATTTTAAAAAAGGAAGATAATTGTGTTGCAAAATCTGAGGCCATATATATCCAAAAGTAAACGTGACAGGGAATTTGTTCTGAATGTGTTGAAGGTTTTTTTGTATGTAATGGGGAACCATAGCTTTACATTACATAAACAAGTAATCATAAAGCTACAACTTACACAGTTCTCTCTCCTTCTCCTCTTCCTGCAGTTACATGACCAGAAGCTCCAAGCTGTAATAGTAAAAGTTTAAACAAACTAGAAATTCATGTTACATCTGAACCCGAGGTTCTGGTTTGTAGTTTATGATTCCAGCTTGCTAACAGATCAGAATTCCTCCAGTTTAGAAGTAATGCTAAATTCAAATTGGTTTAGAATTAGATTCTTCTGATTTTAGAAGAAGGCAACTTTTGAATTCATGATGGAGCACATTACTTGCTGGGCTTGTGACATGTAGAAAGGGTCAGAATGCATGTGAGCATGCAAAACTGGCAATACACATGCAAGAACATGTCTATTTGGGATGAAACAGACCATACCTCATAGTATGTTTAACAGCTGAATTTAACAGCTTGGATGTCAAAACAGCTGAAATTGTTTTTATAAAATGTTTTATCCTCTAGACCAGTGGTCCCTGACCATGGGTCCCCAGATGTTCTTGACTACAACTCTCAGAAATCCTGGTGGAAATCATTTAGTGGTGAAGGCTGCTGGGAGTTTTAGTCCAAGAATATCTGGGGTCCCAGTGTTGGGAACCATCGCTGTAGACAATAGTGAAATTAGTGGTCAGTGCTTTCAGTGTACTGCAGTCTTAAAGTTCTGACTTTTAACTGGGCATTTGGCCCAAAATACAGTTTTTAGCTTTAGAGTAGAATTGTCTGAAAATTATTTACTAAATGTAAAACACTGGAGCATCAAGAACGGCAGGCTGAGAAGGGAATGACAGAACATGTAAGGATATTTAACTAGGTAATGTGGCATTCTGGAGTGCTTATAGTTACTACCTGACTCAATTTTCCATTCCATTGTAAAACAGCTATCCAGATTTGCAGCTTACTCTCTGTGTATTTAATTGGCAAGAAGTCTGATGTGTTTCCTGTGGCTTATGCTCAAGCAAATCTGTATGAGTTTTACCTTTGTGTACAGTTGATCTTCTGTTTAACACAAACCTTACTGTCTGTCACTCATATTTCTGTCCCAAGTTTCCAATGATGACAAAAACTGAGCACCTAAGGGATGATGTTGCTGTTGTTGTCCCTTGGATATAGATAAAATGCTATTTATTTGTCAAGTTTGTTTGTGCCAGTGATTTTCACATATTGTCTTTTGTTCACGATACCAGAAACACTAGTTTAGATTTATCCTGTGCATTGACTGAATATGCAAAATAGAAAAGTATAGAAGAAGTGGTGTGGAGGAAAATGTTTGATTCAATGCTTTTTTATTTTCTCTACACATTACCTATTAGGGACTAGTTTTTTTCAAAAGGAGGGCCCATAGCTTTGTGGTTAAGCCTATGCTTTGCATTCACAGATACAATTCTTGGCATTTCCAAGTATGTCTAGAAAAACAATTCTTCAAATCCCAGAGAACCATTACCACTTGGGTTAAGAGTATTGGACTAGATGAACCAACCTTTTTGACTCAATGTAAGACATAATCCTGTTTTCTAAATTCTTCATAAAAAGCTTATTAATTAGTTCAGCTCCTGTGGTTTGTGTTTGCATTGATGATTCAGCCGCTCTTCTAAGTAGTGCCAAAAAAATTGTCAGAAGATACAATATTCAGTACAGACAACAGTCACAGTTCAGCCTTTTTAAAAACACTTTAGGCAATTTGATTTCAGTGAACAAATTGCACCAAGTTGTGGCCCATATATTTCACAAGGAAAGGTGGTATATGGAGCAGATAAGGTGTAGGGAAACAAGTGCCCGACAATGCTAGAAGTAGCTGTTTAAACTCTTCCGAGAAACATGGGGTTCTCCTAAGACTTTGGTGTCTTGCAAATAACCAGTGTATACAGTACATACATATGCTGTATATGAAAAGGGGAGCAAACATCTGCATTTTGGTTTTGTAAGCTAGTCACTTACAATTAAACAGTTTGCAGTCGTCTTAACTCTGGGAACCCTCTTTAATTCTATCTTTGTTCATATTAACACAACCTGATTATAGCTATTTCCATTAGATATGCTTTTTTCAGGAAAAAAAAAGGCTAGAAATGGACGTATGGGAGGGGGAAACAGACCTCAAATGAAAACATAACAGCATGTTTACTGTTTTACTTCTTGTATTAATTTAGAGTAACTATTTAAAACAAAGTAATTCAGTAACCAATTGTGTAGAGTCACACTTTCAAAACATCAGGATAGCATTTGATCACATGCTAATGTTATTCCATTAAAAAGTTAAATGGAGAAAACTTTTAATTTTGTTTCCAGAAATTGCTAATCTTCTTGTGACTTCAATTTTACATAAATTAGTTACTTCAACAAGATTTCTCATACATGGAATAAATTATAATCAATTAAGAATGAGCTGATGTCTATAAACGATGTATGATTATATTTTAAAGACTGGAAAATGGTTTTCCTATTGTGCTGTGTCTTATTAAGGATAACTTTGCTGTTACTGTAGTAAACAGGCAGAGAGAAAACTTCAGAAAGATAGAGTAATAATCCTGGATTATTTCGCTTGGTTTGCCAAAATGTTAATATGCTAAGTGAGATCAATTTCTAGTCATAACTGGAAAACTATTACTGGTTTTTAACACCTTTAAAAGAAAGTCAGGAGAAATTACAAGAAGCTGCTAAGACAGGTGTTGTGGCTTTGCACATTGAATGAGGTAGCAGATATTTTATAAACATGTTACAGGCATGTTTAACTTGAAAAGAACTTTTCTAACTATGTAATAGTAACATGAAGTACTTTGTTCAAATATATACACAAGTGTGTCTTTTGAGAAAATTTTCTGTAAGATTCCCAGAACTACTGTAAAACTCTACAATTGCTTTTTTTAACTTTTTGAAAAATGTTTTTTCTTTCCACCTCCTTGCAAAGGTGTACCCATGCTGTGAATGCATTATGTTCCGATATGCATATTTATTCTGTTTTTAAACAAATGTGTAAAAATTGTATATAAAAACAAATGTAAATAAAATATTTTTAATGTTTATGCTATTTTCTAAAATGTTTTATGGTTCTTTGCCCTCTGTGTTCCTTATTCTTCAAGTTTGCATTGTGTCTGTAGCAGGATGGCAGAAAAAGTAGCAAACCTTGTTTTATCTTTTTTATGACACTCAAACAGAAAAAGAATGAAGGAAAAAGGTTTATGGTAAGTTAGTCTTCCCCAAGATCTTCCGCTTGCAGTGACCTGGCCCAGTCATATAGCCTCACTGCCTCTTGCTCCCAGTCTTCATCTGAAAATAGACTTTCTTTCTCAGCCAATGAATGATCACTTCTTGAACGATCGCTTGAAGATGAACTATGCTCCTGAATAACAAAGTGTATGTTATTCTAAGAAGAAATGACTATGTTGGGGTTAATTTCCCTCTCTCTCTTTTCACACTGTAAATGGCTGAGATCCCGTTTGTGCAAGTTTATGTCACTTAAGCTATATGACATCATTATCCAGAAATGAATATGTTTAATATAATTGAACACTTTCTATCCCCTCCCCTTCAGGCTCTAAGGCTCTCTAGAGTTCTATTTTGCCCTTCCATTTTGTCTTGAGATGGGGAAGGAACCTTTAATATCAGAAAATTGCAGCAATTTTCCAATATTAGAGGCTGCCCATCCCAAGGCTCCCAAAAGCTAAAGGGACTCCTAGAAAGCCTTGAAATCTGAAAGGGGGCAAGATAGAAACTTTAAAATGTAATTAAAGGTAACTAATCCCTCGGTTTGTGCAGTATAAATTTATGCCAACAGGATTTCAGTGTATGTCACTGCAAAAGCCATCTGTCTAAATTGAATATATCATTGAATTAATTCAATGGAACAGCAGTTTACATGCTGAACAAAGTTCTTTTTAAAGCAAAACTAAAGCAAACCTTCCTTGGGGAATTATGATTCACTAGACAAATAATCTTGCATTTAGGAGCTTTAATTTGATACATCTGTTCTGCCGTGGAACTTAGAACCTCACTTTCTCAATGATAAAGGCTATATAATGCTGAATCTACATAAATGCTTCATTACTTTGCACTAGTGTAGGAACCCACTCTCTTGTCCCAAATGTCCTAGTCGAAGTAGAATGCAGGAAATTCTCAAAGTTAAAATGTAACACACATGATAAAACCAGAGGAAAACAGCCAGAAACAAGTGTCCTTATCACCTGCTGTATGTGCATTGTCTAAATATGTGATAAGAAAATTCAAAGTAATCCCACCTTAATAAGGATGAATCTTTGGATTTCAGTTAATGAGATATACAGAATTCTTATCAAGCTTAATGGTGAGAAAATAGATACCATTTCTTATGAGACCTCTGCAAAGAACTGAATACTCCTCTAAATGTCTGGAGGTTCTTTATTTTTCAAGAAATAAAATTCACAGTTTAAAAAAAAGTTCTAGTTGAATAACATAAGATCAATACAATTCTAGATGGTTTGGCATTATTTTAATGTGTTTTATGTACAGTAGTGCCTCGCATTACGACGTTAATTCGTTGCAGCGAAATCGCTGTAGAACGAAAACATCGTAATGCGAAATAAAAAGCCCATAGAAACGCATTAAAACCCGATTAATGTGTTCCTATGGGCTTGAAACTCACCGTCCAGCGGAGATCCTCCATAGCGCGGCCATTTTCGCTGCCTGTGCAGCGAGGAATCCGTCCCAGAAAAGTGGGTAGCCATTTTGAAACTACCGATCAGCTGGCCAAAAATCGTCGTTTTGTGAGAATTGGTTCCCGAAGCAAAGAACCGATCATCGCAAAGCGGAATTCCCCCATTGAAACCATCGTACAGCGATCGCTTTTGCGATCGCAAAAAGTTCATTGTAATGCGGTTTCATCGTTAAACAGGGCGCTCGTCTTGCAAGGCACCACTGTACTCACCTCTCCTTTCTTAGTTTTATAAACCTTCCTCATTTTTGCAATCTTCTGTCGAGCTCGGTAAGAGCGACGTTCAGAAATTGTGCGAGCTAACATTCGCTCTGCGGTTGAGAGATTAGCTGTTGTCAGACATGGTGCTGGAGATCTAGAAAAGAACCAACATTTTAAACACTTTTTAGCATGAAACATCGTGGAATTCAAAGATCAATATTTCACAGTAATGTGATGATGTCCCTACTTTAATATCTGTCTTGCAGCTACAACTTTGTATCCAACAAGTAAGGTTTTGAAAAATACCTTGGACCCTTATGCCTGTGTTCACTGACAGATTGGCTCCTATCAGGACTCTTTTAAAATATTTTTTCCTATTCACTTCAATAGATACGTGTGAAGAGGAATTCTCTAGGTGGTCTGGCATTATTTGTAATGCATGCACATGCACTGTCAGTATTAATGTATTCTCACTAACATAGTGGATCATAGGAACTGACAAAACCAAAGCACCGGAAAAGCACACTTCTACAATGCCATCAAAATATTTAAGCAAATACAAAGGGAAACAATTGGTACCCTCAGAGTGCAACTCCCAGGCTTAAGTCTAATGGCCAATGGTGAGAGACAATGGAATTTGCAGTTAAAACTTCTGGAGGGAGATGTATTCACCATTCACAATCCAGAACAATAAAACAGTGGAAGACAGGAAGGCCTGGCGTGCTCTGGTCCATGGGGTCACGAAGAGTCGGACACGACTAAATGACTAAACAACAATAAAGAATCTCTTGGAATTCCCTGGGAGCTAATTTAAATAAAATTTAAATAAACAGCTGCTAGAATGATAATTAAACAGTGTATGAATGTTTCTATATCATAATAGATTAACTAAGAACTGTAGGTGGATAACAGGCTGAAGCACTGCATGCATAACTATACTGTATACAGAAAGGCTGAATACCTGCCTTCATATAAACACATTCCACTCCATATTAATCATATGCTCCAGACATTCAGACATAATGCATTTAGAACATCCTGTTAAGGAGTCTGTACCATTAATCATGCAGAATTTTCCTTCTGCTGCTGCCCCAAACTAATGCTATGAACATCTGTTAAATGTGTGGCTGATTTACCCTTTCATTAATCCAGAAAAACTTTGCCTATCTATTTCCACAATCCTTTCATGTAAGCACTTGTATTGTCATTTAGAAGTGTGAATATTTATAATGGGTTTCCCAAAGAGTCCTCACTCCTTTTGCAGGTTACAATCTGAATAAGAACAACAGGACCACAAAATGTTCCAAAACTGATCTTTAGTTACACATGGAAGTGAAGTAATAGGGGAAAGATGCATAATAACTAAAACAATGCACCATCTTCACTGAGAGTGGGATTATTCCTCCCAAATTTAGAACCCCCTAGATGTTTTAGGCTTCAGCTACCACTAGTTGCAGCCAACGTGGCTAACTGTGAGGAATTATGGAACTAAATCCAAAACATCCAGACAGTACAACAGGAAAGGATGGTTCAGAGTCTGTAGTAGACAGCCTTCTTTGTGTCCCATCATGAAAACAGCTGAAGAGAACAGCCAATGAAGGAATAGAGCTATCAGCAACTGATTGTAACCTAAAGCAGAGACAGCTGAAACAACCATGGCTTACTGATTTAAAGTGCTTGCAAAATACTATTGCTCCCCAACAGGAAGGGGGGAGTGTTGGAGGAGCAGCCATTGAGGTGGTGCTGGATAGGGGAAGGAATGGCGGTGGGGGTAGGACATGCCCGCGTAGGAGAAGAGAGGTTAGATATCTTACATCTATCCCCTCTTTTAGTCCTACCCCCAGCCAGATGGTATCAGGTGACCATATCAGCAAACCCTCAAGCAATGCGGTGCTGTTGATGAATGCCAGGTCAGTACAAAATAAGATTGCCCTCATCCATGATGTAATTCTGGATGAGGGTGCTGACCTGGCATGCATTACTGAGACCTGGGTGGGAGGGGAGGGGGGTGTTCCCCTCTCCCAGCTGTGTCCGCCTGGGTACTCGGTCCAGCACCAATGTCGCTCAGAGGGTTGAGGAGAGGGAGTTGCTATAGTCTATAGGACTTCTATCTCCTTGACCAGGCTTCCTATCCCTTTGAGAGGTCTTGAAGGGCTGTATTGTGTGTTGGGCTTATGAGACGGATTGGGGATTCTGTTGGTGTACCGCCCACCCTGCTGCGTACCAACAGTCTCCCTGCCTGAGCTGACAGAGGGAGTTTCGGACCTGGTGTTGAGGACTCCCAGGCTGTTGGTGCTGGGAGACCTCAACATCCATGCCGAGGCTGCCTTGGCAGGTAGTTCGGGACTTCATGGCTGACACGACAACCATGGGGCTGCCTCAATGTGTCAATGGCCCGACACATGAGAAGGGCCATACCTTGGACCTGGTTTTCTGAAC